AGATGCCAAAGTCTGCCACTAGGGAGAGTAGCTGGGCTTTTTCCTTCTTGCCAGTGGTTACGAGGCCTTCAGCTGCCGGATGATTGGGCAGGTGAACCGAATCCCAGGGAATCCATTCCCCAGGTGGCTTTTCTCCAACAGCATGTCCTGGGACTCTCTTCTCAAAGCACTTTCACTTTTGCAGGCCAAAGTGTAGAATCTTGCTCTTTCTTGACATGGCTCTTTAGACATTTTTTCCTATTGTCCTATTGTAAAGTAGTTGGCTTCTTTTTAATGCTAATCTTTTTAGCAACCAAACTCTCTTCTGGTTCATCTTTGCAGGCCCCAGCTATACCTGAGCTTCCTTTATGGCCTCCAAATTAAAAACTTAAAAAAAAAAAATTCAGCTGTGCTGCTTGCTCTTGGTTTTCAGGATAAACCTGGCTAAAAGCACTAAGCAGTATCCATGCTACACCCTGAATGTTTGGTTTCCTTGAAATTTCTTCTGCCAGATTAGTCTGCTGTTCTTAATCTCAGTCTCCCACAAAGTGTCAGGACAGGCACAAAATGTAGACAGATTTTCTGCCAGAGCATAACACACATGGCTTCGAGGCCAACTGCCAATGGAGTCCTTTTTCCCAACTGAAACCTCCTGAGACCGGTCTTCACTGGCTGCTTTTCTGTCACCATTCTGGTCTTCTGACCACTGACCAGAATCTCTCATCCAGCTAGACTCACAGCATTCTAGCGTTACTTCTCTAGCTGGCATCTCCAAACCTTTCCAAACTCCTCCCAAGAACCAGTTCCAAAGACTTCCAAACCACATGGCCAGGGAGCATCACAGCAATGATCCCCACTTCTCTGATATCAAAATGTTTCTTAGTCACATTGCTCATTGCTTTTGGAAAATACCTGACACCCACAACGTAAAGGAGGAGGTGTTTATTTTGGCACACAGCCTGTAGAGCTTTCAGCCCATAGTTGGCTGGCTCCAGGCCAGGGTGGTATGGCAGAGGGGGGTTGTTCACGGTAGGATGGGAAGCAGAGGGAGTAAAGGAAGGTGCAGTGAAGAGCTACACCTTCCAGGCCTTGCCCCCAGTGACCCACCTCTTCATACCAGATCCACCTCTTAACAGCAAGTCAGCTATAAGCTCATCTGTGGACTAATTCATTAATGAGTATCAGGCTACCATGACCCCATCCCCTCCCCAAAACCTTACCTATGAGTGCATGAGGCTTTGGACAGACATCTAGATGTAAACCATGACAGTAAGAGTTCTGCCTTTTACTAGCATGATAAAGTATCAACTCAAAGTATATTGTGGGAAGTTACAGACGTATATCACAATTGCTAGAACAACCACGGAAAGCATTTTTAGAAAGACATATAGTTAAAAAGTCAATAGATAGATTGAAGTGGGATATTAAAAAGCAATGGAGCCATGCATGGTGGCACACTTCTGCAATCCCAGCACATTGGGAGGCTGAGGCAGAAGGATCACAAGTTTGCGCTTAGCCTGGGAAACTTAACAAGACCTTGTCGCAAAATAAAAAAATTAAAAAGGGATTGGGCTGTAGTTCAGGGTGAAGACCCTGTGTTCAATCTCCAGTACTTAAAAAAAATTCAAATAATCCAAAGAAGAGGCAAAAGGGAGAACTGGATAAAAACAAAAGGAACTGAAAACAAATAATAAAATATAGACTTAATCCTGTCATAATAATTATATTAACTACAAGTGGTCTAACCATACCAATAAAAGGATAAATGTTATCAATTGAACTAAATAAAAGGATCCAACTATATGCTGTCTTTGAGAAACATAATTTAAAACACGATAAAATAAGCAGGATTATATATTGCAAAAAACAAAAGTAGAGACCAATATTCCTACGAATGTGGATGCAAAATTCCCTAATAAAGCACCAGTAAATCAAACCTAGGAGCACATTAAAAGGATTATGTACCATGATCATAAGAAAATTATCCCAGGCATGCAGGACGTGCAATATATGAAATTAATTAAAGTAATAGTATCATATTAATAAGAAAATTATCCCAGGCATGCAGGATGTGCAATATATGAAATTAATTAAAGTAATAGTATCATATTAATAGAACAAAGAAAAAAGCCATATGATCATTTGAATTGTTGAATTAATGCACAAAGAACACTGGACAAAATTCATTTCACAAACACTTAACAAACAAGAAATAGAAGGACAGCTACAACCCAATAAAAATAATCTCAATCTACAGTGAGCATCACACTTAACAGTGAAAGCCTAAAAGTATTCCGAAGATCCAGAATAAGGCAAAAACATTTGCATCTGTCATTTTTCTTTAACATTATACTGGAAATTCTAGCCAGCCAACCAGACAAGAAAAAAGGAAAAGAAATAGCATTCAATTCACAGAGAGAGAGAAGCAGAGAGCAAGCTAGCTAGCTACTGGCTTCCACACAAATTTGACAAAGTTACCTGATACAAAGTCAATGTGCAAAAATCAGTTGTATTTCTATAAACCAGTAAGGAATAATCTGAGGAGAAATAAAAAAGACAGTTCCATTTACGATAGCAACAAAAAGAATAAAATACTCAAGAATATATTTAACCAAGGAGGTACACGTATTGCGTGCTGAAACAACAAATTACTGTTGAAAGAAATTAAAGACCAGAGAAATTCAAATTAATATAATGGTGAGATTCTTCTTACTCCAGAAAGAATGGCTACCATCAAGAAATCAAATATAAAAATGTTGGAGAGTCTGTGCAGAAAAAGGCACACTTTTACATTGTTGGTGGGAATGTAAACGAATACAACCACTATGGAAATCAGTAAGAGATTCTTCAGAGAACTAAAAGTAGAAGTTCCATTTAACCAAGTTAGTCCCCTTCTAGGTATCTTTTTGAAAGAGGTAATGATGTTATATTACAATGATCCACGGATACCTGTGTTTATAGCAGCATAGCTCATAATAGCTAAATCTTGGAAACGACCTTGAATGAAGAAAATGTAATATTTACACACAACGGAGTACTAGTCTGCCAGGAAGACTAAATTTGAGTAATTTATAGGAAAATGGATACACCTTGAGACCATAATGTTAAGTGAAATAAATCAGACACACAAGCTTAAATATGGCATGGTTTCTCTTAGACGATAAAGCCAAATCATAAATAAATCAAAGAGCAAAATAAAAGACAGATTATAGGAAACAGGGAGATGGATGTTTTACAAGTTGGAAAAGGACCAAGAAGTGGATGAAGGTCGGGGGAGGAAAGGGCCGTAAAAAGAATTAAGATGTATCATGTACATGTACCAACTCCCCACAAAGAATGTAATCGTTATGTACCACAAACATGTACTAATAAAAAAATTAGAAAGAGAAAAGAAGTAGAACTAGTCTGAGGAAAATAGAACTATCAGAGAAACAATGAATTTCTCCAAACCTCTTCTTTTCAAAAGCAGTGCCTTGGCTGGGAGAGTTGTAGTTCAGAGGTTTAGCCCGTGTCTAATGTGTAGGAGCCCCAAATTCCATTCCTAGCGCTGCAAACAAAACAGAACACTCCAAAATCCAAGATAAAAGGCAGGCAGTAGCACAGATGTAGAGCGACATTCTGGTGGGAATAAAAATTCTGAAAACTGCTGGGCAGTTTCTTAAGAAGTTAAAGATATATCAATCTGTCACCTTGGAAACCTATTCCTGGAGAAATAAAGCTAAAGTTCACACAAAAACCTGTATACAAAGGCTTGTAGTAGCTTCATTCATAACTGCCATGATTAGAAGCCACTCAGATACTCTTTAGCAGAAGAGCTGATAAAACATCATACAGTACTGCCCTGCAGTGCAGAGGAAGGAGCCACCAATACGTACACTGGCAGGGATGATGCTAAGAAGCCAGTCTCAAGAGGTCACACATGGATCCCATTCCTAGAACATTCTAGAAAAGATGAAACAACAGAGATAGAGCAGATGGTGCTGTCAGGGTCGAGGGTGGCGGAGTCAACCAGAAGCCATGAGGGATTTGGGGATGAAGGATTGTTCTGTATCCTGATTGTCCTGTGTCTATGACTCTGCATTTTTTGAAGCTGACAGGAATGTATACCCCCCTCAGTTTAATTTTATGATATGCAAATTAAATTTAAAATATCTGGAGAGTGTTAGGTAAAAAGATCCAAAAACCAGGATCAGACCAGACCCATAACAAGGCTTTATTATAGGGAGGATCTGCAGGGATATCTCTGAACAAAGGAGAGAAAGCAACAGGGCAGAACAGGGAGCTTCTGTTAAAGGAGCGGGGTGGGTTAGCCTGAGCTGGGGTGGAGTTGAGTGAGGTAGTATTAAGAGACTGGAGGAGCCTGTGACATCCCTAGCTGCTAAGAGGTAGCAAATATCAAGTTACTCTTTTGGCGGGAGAAGAGGCATGATGGGAAGAAGAAGCCTGTCCTTTTTTGGGAGAAGCCACACTTTAACATGGAGGCTGCTATTCCATGTGGCAGCCTTGTTAAGGCAAGGGAAATCTAACATAGCACTACACTTCCTCAAATGTGGAAGTAGAGACTAATAGTAATCCATGTAAATATACAGTTCTTTTCTGTTTCTAACTTTATATTTAATCAAATGTTTTCATTTAAATCGTCTGCCACTATTAGTCTTAGTTTTAAAAGAATAGGGTTAGGAAACAGGTTGATAGGAAGATGAATACTTAATTAGACACATTGAGACAAAATAAAACTGTCTCAGCCAGGGGCTTAGCTCAGAGGTGCCACTGCCTGCCTTGTAAACTCAAGGACCTGAGTTTGATCCCTGGTACCAAAAAAAATTTTTTTTTAGATTTTTTAAAATAAATAAAACTGTCTCGTGTCAGCTCCTCTGTGGTAATCTGCTTTTCTTCGGCTGGTACCAGTGGCCCCAGTGAGGCCGAGGAACTCTCCCTTGTGTGTTTCTCAGGCCCCACGGCAGCCAACAGGACAGCCCAGAGAGCACAGCACCGGGGCAGATCGGCGGTTCAAACCTTACCACGCCTATGCTTTCGAATGAGAAGATGGCCGTTCCGAAGAAGAGTGGGTAGGTCTTCCAGCTGGCGGCCAGCGGCAACCGGCTGGGGTCTGGAATGTCCTGAAGGAGAGAGGAAGGCAGAGGGGGAGATCAGCACTCCAAAAGCATGCACACTGGAGCTCCTGGAGGACAGAGGTACTCTGTGAGGAGACCGGAATTCTTCTTAACTGCGTGTTAAGATGTGTAGAAAGAAGTCTTCAAAAGCAGGTAGGCAACGATCAGCATGGATTTTAACACCGGCCAATCTGAACACGAGGGCGTTGTCACATCCTGAAGTTTAAAATCTCACGGAGGAAATTCAGCTCATTAGAAACCTCCAAAGAGAAGCTTACAGTCACAGGCTGTGCTGAGCTGGGGTACCCGGCAGCATGTAAGAGGCCTGTGGCCATGAACCTTGGAAACCACTGTGACTGTAATGGTAGACTACACTGGGGATCCCAAAGGAAGCAGTTAAATGTGAAAGTCCCTTTGTTTTTCCACAGGCAGAAGTTGAAGGAGAGGCAAGAGTGAGGCGTAACTACGCTCTGTGCTCTGTGACCCACAATGTGAAAATAAACACAGAACCATTTTTGTAATTGAAGTCTCTCTGGAATTGTCTGAAGATAAATCAGAAGTAGCTGCCTCATTAGGAAATTCAGTGAGGTAGAATCCATCAGTAACTCCTGAGAAATATGAGACCGATCTGTAGTTTTTCTAAAACATTTGAGTAATTTATTATTTTTACTAAGTTCCCTGGACAATGCAACTTTTATTTTCTCCTGTGGTTTCTGATATAGAAAAGCATCTGAAAGTTGCTGGGTATATCAAGAATTTTCAGGGGCTTAAATGCCCTAGGTAGTGTTGTGTACTATAAAAGAAAAATTAGAAAGGATAAGGAAGGAAATTGAAGGGAAATTTAATATCCATAACCCAAAGATGTTGTCTTAACATCGTAATAGATTTGTTTATGGTTTTTGAGATTCTATTGACACTTCTGTCACTAAATATTAGGTCTTTTTTCCTACAGTGTCCCTCGGGGCAATTTTGGGCGCCAGGAACTGTAGCCTAGAGGATATAAGACTATGATATAAGAAGCTACTTTTCATCTGCCTTAGTGCTAGCCGGTCATTACAGGAACGGTCTATAGTTTGCCAGTCAAGATGTCTTCCTTACAAAGCAAGGGCATTTTTTTTTTTTTTTTGTAAGTGCAATATTTTT